AAGTTGAGTTGTTGAATCCATTGGTTTGTTTTGTAAGGCTAAATGGAAAAGGTTGCAGAAAAATGTTGGCTGGAAGTTGCAGAAGCATAAGCTTCATAACCGTGCATGAGCTTGCATGAAATAATTCTAAAAATTACACTTTGGCCCCCAAGTCTCTCTTTGTTTTACCATGACCCAACCAATTGAATAATTTCATCAATTTGATCCTTCGCAGCTTTGATTTTTGCAACTTCATTGCTTGTTTGCTTTAATTAATTACCATATTTTCTTTAATCGCACTTAATTCGTGATTTTAAGAGCTTTCGGACCAAGTGAGCTTGTGTTTGCATACTTTCTTTAATTTTCTCAATTAAAATGATGCCTTGACCTTTTCTTTTATTTTGGAGGATAAATAAGTGACTTCACCCCATTAGAGCTCCATTTCAAGGGAGGTATAATTTCTTTTTTCTTTTTTGTCTCTCCCCTATGTGATCCAACGTGCTAAGTGAGAATTGCATGCCTACTTTGCTTTCCTTGCTTTTCCTTAATTCCCTTCATTTATTTCATTTTCATTCACTTTTGCTTAAGTCATCTTTTTATTTATTTATGGGGTATGTGTACACCTCTTGGCTTGTAATAGATAGGGCTTGGAGAGCATTTTTGTCCATTTTCCCCCTTCCCTTTTTGTTTTAGTTAGCAAATGTAATAGGTTCATTAGCTTGATTGCTTGCCTTTGTTGCTACGTGTTAATTTGCTTTATTAGGCTCTTGCATCTAGTCGAGCATGGTAAGTGTTATGTGCTATGTGTTTATATGTGATTGGCATGTCTACTTGCTTTCTATAGTCATAGATGAATATGATGGATGAATGCACGTCACCACACTAGTCCAACGCTAGTTGTAGCTCATGGTCCCGTTTTCCACTAGTCCAACGCTAGTAGGAATTCATAGATATGGGCTAGTTCAACGCTAGACCCTTAGGGATTCCCCTCGCTAGTTCATACTTGCATGTTTCACTACATTTCATGCATTTTTCTTAGTTTTCTAGCATTTGGCATGCCCCTCCAATCCTTTCCCTTTCATTTTAGGTTTTTGCATCTTCATGCTAGTTATAGGGTACATTTGCTTGAGAGTCCCCCTTCGGTAAGGGAAACGAGCGAGTGTGGCTACAAAATAGCCTTAGCACGCTAGTTCTTCCTTCTAATCAAAGGGAAAATTAAAGTCGTGAAATTAGGAGTCATTCCCGTACCCGACTTGATGCATTCCTCTAGGATCATACACTCTCATTTTTTATCATATCACTTCCTCACTTTCTTTATCCCCATTTTCTCACTACTTATATTTTTCGCAATCCACATGCCATGTTCACACACTTTCCCTATCACTTATTTATTTTCTATCTCACAAATTGCACCCAATTGCACTTATATGCATTTACTACTATTGTACCATATTTTCATCCACTTGCACACAAGCACCTTCATTTTCTCAATTTACACACATGCACTTTTCTTACATTTGCACACTTGCACTTTTCTTACATTCTCACACTTGCACTCATATTTGAGTCTTCATTTGCATCATTCGCGACCTCTATGAGGACTTTCCTTATTGGCCACCACAACTCATGTGGTTGGGACCAAAAAGCCTCGTAAGAGACATTTTAGATTTAGGATTGTATTTCTTTTTAGTCATATCCAACATGCAACGCATATTTTGGGTAGAAGAATTAGGAAACGTGGGGCTAAATCGCGCAACTAGCTTTGGCTAGGGTAAGGGAGTGCCTTAGGCTTTGCCTTTGCCTTCTCACTTATCAAATGTGACCCCCGATCCCTTGCTTTGGTTACGTAGATCTAAAATTCTTCAAAAAGGGTTTGTTTACTTTTCTTTCCAAAAAATCATTTTTCGGGTGACTTGGTACACCCTAACTCTATACCAAGTGGCGACTCCATTTTTCCATTCAAAATCCCTTTTTGAACTTTATTTGGCCAAACCGTCGCATTTCACAATCCCCCGGCCTTTTATTTTCATGTTTACACACGTTCATATACACACTACTTTCACATCACTCAAAAAGTGGGGCGCGACATCGGCTGATCGAGTTTTTCCTCAGGACTATATCTCCTGGTTGGAATCGACGATGTTTCACGAGGACATTGTAGTAGCGGGCCAAGGTGTTCTTATATGAAGCAACCCGAGCTGAGGCAACATCTATTCTTTTTTTGACGAGATCGAGATCCAGTTGTCTCTCTTCTTCGTTCACCTCGACTGTATAAGCTGCCAATCGAGGACTGGATGTGAGGATCTCAGCAGGAATGACCGTTTCGGTTCCGTAGGTCAAGGAGAAGGGATTCTCTTGCGTGGCTGACCTCGGCGTGGTCCGATAGGACCACAGGACACTGGAGAGTTCTTCTACTCAGGATGATCCAGCTCGGTGTAGTCGGATCTTGAGGCCATGCCAGAGAGTTCGGTAGAAATTTTCTGCTTGACCGTTGGCCTGGGGGTGGCCCACCGAAGTGAAGTGTTGCTTGATGTCGAGATTCTCGCACCAAGTCTTAAACGGGTTCTCGGCAAACTACCTCCCATTGTCTGAAATGATGACCTGAGGTATGCTGAAGCGGCAAACGAAGCATTTCCAAAAGAATTTTTGAACCGCCAGCCCTGTAATGCTCCTTAGAGGCTCGGCTTCGACCCACTTAGTGAAGTAGTCCACAGCGGTTACAAGGAAGGTATAACCTCCGACAGCTTTAGGGAAGGGACCGATGATGTGTGTCCCCCATTACTCGAACGGCCAGGGTGAGGTAATTGGAACCATGAGATTTGAGGGCTGGTGGTGCTCGAGGGCGTGGGCCTAGCAGGAAGGGCAGCCGAGAACAAGGTTTTGGACATCTTGTCAAACGGAAGGCCAGAAATACCCAAGAAGTAGGGTCTTCTTGGCCAATATCTTGTGGCCGACATGAGCCCCCCATAGGCCTTCGTGTATCTCGTGGAGGACTTGGCGTCCCTCCTCGGGCGTAATGCACCTCAGCCACGGGCCAAAGTATGACCGTTTGTACAACTCCCCATCGCGGAGCGCGTACCAAGCTGCTTTGCGTTGGATCTTTCTCGCTTCGGCTCGATCTTCTGAGAGGATTCCCTAGTCTAAGAAGAGGATGAATGGGCTCATCCATGTGTCTCCCGGGTGTACGGGGCAGGCCACCTCTTCCATGTATCCCGGCTCGTTCAGGACTTCCACTAGGACCGTCTTGTTGAGGTCAGAAAATGATGTGGAATCCAGTCGAGATAAGGCATCGCCCCACCTATTTTGGGACCGGGGTATTCTTTGAATTTTGAAAGACTTGAAGTACGCGGCGAGTTGGTGAACTTTGGAGAGATACCGTTGCATGGTCTCATCCTTGGCTTCATATTCACCAAGAACTTGGCTTACTACAAGTTGGGAGTCGTGCGGACATGGATCCGCTGGGCACCGAGTCTGCGGGTTAGTTGGAGTCCCGCAATCAAGGCCTCATATTCGGCTTCATTATTGGTGGCAGGAAAGTCGAAACGGAGGACATATGAGCACACATCTCCCTGGGGGCCCTCCAGGAGCAATCCTGCTCGGCTGCCATCCCCGTTAGAGGATCAGTCCATATACAACGTCCACAAGTGTGGGTCGGGCACTCCGGAGATTGCGGAAGTGGCTTCTCGGCTCTCCGTAAAGGTGAGCTCGACAACAAAGTCAGTTAAAGCTTGAGCTTTTATGGCAGTGCGCGACTCATACGACAGATCATACTCTCCTAACTCGACAGCCCATTTGGTGAGGCGCCCGGAAGCCTCGGGGCGCACCAGAATCTGTCGAATAGGCTGGTCTGTCCTAACGGAGATGGGATGAGTTAGAAAATAAAGCTTCAGCCGCCGAACTGCGTGGACTAATTCTAACACGAGTTTTTCCACCTGGGTGTATCGAATCTCAGGCCCACGGAGAGCTCTGCTAACATAGTAGACTGGCACTTGAGTGCCCACATCTCGGATGAGCACAGCGCTGACAGCTTCGTCGGCGGCGGAGACGTAGAGGTACAGCTTCTCTTCGGGCCGAGGTGAGGCGAGAGTAGGCCGGTGATACAGATATTGTTTCAATTGGTCGAAGGCTTGCTGGCACTTTTCGGTCCAGGCGAACTGATCAGCCTTCTTCAGTACCTTAAAGAAGGGTAAGGCCTTCTCAGCAGATTGAGACAAGAAGCGGTTCAGTGCGGCCAGGCGTCCGTTTAGCCTCTGAACTTCTCGAAAGTTCCGAGATGGGGACATGTCCTGGATGGCCTTGATCTTGTCGGGGTTAGCTTCGATTCCCCAGCGGGAAACCAGATACCTCAGAAATTTTTCTGAGGTGACGCCGAAGACGCACTTCTTAGGATTTAGCTTCATCCTTGAGTCCCGCGGGACGTCAAAGACCTCCCTCACATCTGACTGGAAGGCCGAAGTGGTTAGACTTTTGACGAGGATGTCGTCCACATAGACCTCCACATTGCGGCCGATCTGATCTTTGAAGAGGCGGTTGATCAGCCTTTGATAGGTCGCCTCAGCGATCTTTAACCCGAACGACATGGTGGTGTAACAGTAGACATCCCGGTCGGTGTAGAACGCTGTCTTCTCTTGGTCTTTCTCACTCATTCCTATTTGATGGTACCCCTTGAAGGTATCTAGGAAGTAGAAAATCTCGTGTCCCATTGCCGAGTCGACGAGGGTGTCTATCCTCGGCAGCGGGTAGCAATCTTTGGGGCAGGCCTTGTTAAGGTCGGTGAAATCTACACACATTTTCCATCCACCGGTGTCCTTTTTGACCATGACAGGGTTGGACAGCCAGGTGGGGTATTGGATCTCATGGATCATCTTGGCGAGCAAGAGTTTATCGACCTCATCGGATATGGCCTTGCTGCGTTCGGGGCCGAAGTGCCTACGTTTTTGTCTCACAGGACGGACCTGTGGATTAACGTTGAGCTGGTGAATCATGAACTCGGAGGGCACTCCGACTACTTCATCAGCGGACTACGCGAAGACGTCTCTGTGGTCCTTTATCAGGTGGATCATTTCTTCTTTTAGGAGCGAGAGGAGTCTAGCCCCCACTTGGACCACTTGGTCAGGTCCCACCTCATCCAAGACCACCTGCTCCTCCTCGTCCCCGGGCTCAAGCCTGCCGGGCTTTCCGGTTTTCTGAGGATCGATACTGTCTATGGAGAGGACAGTTTGCCTCTTTTCCTCAGCCTTTGATGCAGCCCGGGGAGTGACCGCGGCCTGGATGGTGGCGAGGTAGCATTCTCGGGCGGCGTTCACGTCGCTGTTCACCTCGGCCACCCCCGCAGGTGTCGAAAATTTGAAACTCAGGTGGTAGGTAGAGTACACAACTCTCAAGGCGTTGAGCGTGGGCCGACCTATTAACATGTTGTAAGGAGAATCTACTTTGACCACCGCAAAGCTGACGGGTACAGTTCGACAGCGAGGGTGACTTCCGATAGTCACCATCTGGGACACCATTCCCTCCGGGTGGACTACGTGTCCCCCGAAGCCGACGAGGGGGGTTCTGACAAGAGTGAGTTGCTCTCTGGTCAGTTTCAAACTTTCGAAAGTTTGGTAGTACAAGACGTCTACCGAACTTCCGGGATCAACATAGACTTTCTTGACTATGTAATTATTGGCGAGAACTTCGATCACGAGAGTTTCGCGATTGCTGGAGGCTGCAGGGACTGGGTCGCTGGGACTATAGGTGATCACCTCGGATAACCGGGAGCTCGGCTCGGCCACCTCCATACCGGCTTGGCGGTATGTCCGTTTTCGGGAGTTCTGGCTGTCACCTCCCGTCGGGCCACCCGCGATTGTGTTGATCACCCAGGCGATGTTAGGACCGTAGTCCGGTGACCCATCTCGCGGAGGCCGATGTTCCTCCCTATGGTCCTCGGGCCCTCGGCAGTGACTCTTAGTGTCCCGCCTGTCCTCTCGGCGAGGGTCTCGGTTATCTTGGTGGGAGGCGCTTCGGTTGAAGCCTCCATCCTTGCGGACGAATTGCTTCAAGTATCCCTGTCTGATCAGGTTCTCGATCTCTTTCTTCAGATCGTTGCAGTCCTCGGTCTCGTGCCCAACATCTCGGTGGTAGGCACAATAGAGGCTGGAGTTTTTCTTCTCCCTCCTTCCCAGAATTTCAGTAGGGGTTCGGCCGAGGTGGTTCTGACTCATTACAGCCAGAATGTGAGACCGACTGGAATTAAGGGGAGTCAATTCAGCGTCCGAGGTGGACGACCTCTACTTCACGATCCGATCAAAAACACTCCGGCGATCACGAAATTGATTCGATGAGCCACTTGGGCCTTGTTCGATTCAGCCGACTTCTTTTTTCCTCCGGGGCTCTTGCCCGGTACAGGCTGCTTGGGCTTCCCGCTTCATGGGGTTTAGATCCTCACTTCGGATTCCTTGGTCTACCCATTCCCAGAGTTTTCGAAGTGTGCGGGGGTAATTCCGATGTTTCTCGGTATGGAAGACCCTCGCGATCAACCCGTTGGTGAAAGCAGCTATGGTTACCTGCTCATTTTGATCAAGTATCCGCACATTTTCCTTATTGAACCTTTGCACATACGAGTGCAGTGACTCGCCGGGAGCCTGCTGCAGGTTCAAGAGGTAGGCTGAGGTATTTGTCACTGGGCGAGACGATACGAAGCGGTGGATGAACCTGTCTATCAACTCGTCCAGTGAGGAAATGCTCTTCGGTTCTAAGCCCCAGAACCATTTTCGGGTTGTCCCTTGTAGAAAAATGGGGAAAGCTCGACAAATCACGACGTCGGGGACGCAGTAGAGACGGAATGCGGAGATGAAGACGGAATGTAGGGATGCAAGGCTGGGAGCTTAAAATTAGGGGGCATCATTTCTCCATTGATGTCATCGAAAAAGGGCGGAGCCCTCATGTAGTCGGCTGCTAAGCCCCCAGGGCGCCGAGGTGGGTCCTTAACTCGTCTTCCCAGTAAACCCCGGGAAAACGTCCGGGAAATAGAGGCAATTTTGGAGGTCGCCTTGGAAGAGGCGCGCCTGGAAGTACTCCGAGAGAGGTGCCCCTCATCGGAGTCCTCACCTGAAGGTACTTCAGGTGACTTCGTCGATCTCCTCTTGGAGGATTCTGCTTTTTCGTTCCCCTACCTCTTGAAGTACCTCCCTAGTTCTTCGAAAATGTTGGGATTGTCCGCTACGAATTAGGCCATCTTCGTGATGGCGTCTTCGTTGGTGGGCTGGGTCCTCAGGGACCCTTGTTCCTCGGAGATGTGACCTTGCTGAGCTCTCGAGGCTTGTCCAGCCCCGGTCGAGGGAACTCTCCCGCTTCTGGAGCGCGTGGATCTCATTCTAGCAGTAATCTCGTTCCCACAGACGGCGCCAATTGAAAAAGTGATTCTTTGTGGGTAGCAGAACCGACCTGAATCAGTCCTTTCTCAAGTGGAATGTGATGATTTGCTTGTCCGAAGTGGATGGCGGGGCTTCTCCCCTGGGATCACTCCGATGATCAAGTTAGTATATTGAAAGAACGAGAGAAAACAAGAGTGTGTATGAATGAATAGTATGCTTACTTGTTGGGAGCATATGGGGGGTATTTATAGGGCAGGAGTGGAAGACAGGACGGAGGGCTCATGCTAGTGGGACCCACGTCCAGGTCATTACGGCTATGTTCCCTGTCAGGAGGTCTGACTCTGATATTGTAGCCGCCTGGACATAATGACGGAGAGTCTTGCGTAGTTGTCATTAAAAGCATCAGGTGCTTTTCAGATAAAGCACTGGTTCTGTGTGATGTCAGACGTGTTGACATCATCAGCGTGCAGCCGAGGTGGAAGCCAAGAGGTCATCCAAGCAAGTCAGCCAGAGATCTGGCCGATCTCAGGAATTAGGTCCAGAACATGATCGCGTTGATGTGGAGGACAAAATGAGGTCACCTCGGCCCTGGAGGGCGGCCGAGGTGAGCATCCTCAGTCTTCATTTGACTTCAATGATGCTAGTAATGATAACAAAAGTACAATGCTAAAGTTAGGCTCATATTAGATAGGATGATGTGGCATAATTTGGACAATTAAATTTTTGAAAATCAAATCTACCTAGATATGAGCCACTTTAGTCATTGGATTTTTGAAAATCAAGTCTATTCAGATATGAGTCACTTTAGCCATTGGATTTTTGATAATCGAATCCACCCAAATATGAGCCACTACAGTCATTGGATCTTTGAAATCAGGTCTACCTAGATATGAGCCACTTTAGAACACATCATCTTACCAAATATGAGTCTAACTTTAGTATTGTACTTTTATTATCATTACTGGCATCGTTGAAGTCAAATGAAGACAAACTCATAAATCAATATAATATCTTTGTTCCTTTTATATGCCAACTTTTTATTTTGACTAGTACCAAATTATTTGTCATGACTTATATGAAAAATAAGTGGAATTTTATTTAGCTATTTTGCCCTTCAAATACTTTATAATAAGAACACTAGAATCTACATAATTAACGCAATAAATGTAGGATGCAACCATTTTTAACACTCCCCGTAGTATAAATGTTTGGTTTTTGTACATTCCCTGGAGATTTAGACCTTGTGGTTTAATTAACTTTAGCATTTTAAACCTTGTGGGTTAATTAACTTCAAATCTTTTATGTACTTCGTTACTTAATATTGACACCATTGCAACGAAGCTCTAATTGATGGCCGTTAAAGTTGAATCCAAGCCCCTCCATTTGAGAAGGTTCTTTCCAGTTTCGTCCAATTGTGTAAATTGACACAATTTCAATGTAAGCTACCAAATCAATTATAATTCATGTTTATATCAAAATTGCACCAATTTATACCAAAATTCTATCAGTTTACATAACTGGACAATAGAAATTGAAGAGGCTCCATTTCCGTGAAAAGTTGGCAACGGCAACAAGAAGTTGCCAGCTCAGACGGTCCCGTACCAGCTTGGTGCTATCTAAGTCATCTATTCAAAATTTTCAAAAATAAATATTCTATTTGTCAAGATTTTGAATGGAAGGTTTAGATGGACGCTACAGCTGTCCATCACCAATCGGTAGCAGCATCCACGGCTACCTTGGATCCCTTGTACTAATGGCATATTCGGCAGCAGCACCCCCGGTGCCTTGGATCCCTTGAACGGCAGTTTTTAGGTGCTGTTGAGTGGATTGGGTGGGAAAAGAATGTAAGGCTTGCGAATCTTTAAGAAAACATTGAAGCGGGCAATTAAGTGCCAAGATTATGAACCACGAACTAATCTGGTCAAATCCTCATCTCCATTAAGCCATATCACTGTAGGCAGTGAAGTTCAGAAGACTCTACAAAAAGAACCTCTCTTCTAGATGCAAAACCACCGCTTAATTAGGACCAATCTTGCTTAACATTTGTTTGAATTGAAATAACAAGTAATACAACAAACATAGACAATCTGAATCCTGTACTCAACTACTGATGAGTGACGATGGTAAAGGTTACAAACCAAGCTCTGGCAAAGTTTTCGAGTATTTCACCTGATACATGAATTTTGACTGCTATAAATAGATGAACGCATACCTAGAACTGTAGTTTACAAGCCAAACTATTTCCGGAAAGATCGTTATAATCTGATACATCAATGCAGTCTACAATAAATGATGCATACTAGCAATCAACACACAGAACTTAAACTGCTTTTCAACACGTTTATAATGAATTAAAGCAGAAGCCAAACAAGATGTTGAAATAAGAAGCGGACCATGGAAGCTCCATCTGGAGTTCTACTTTAATTCCAATAACTAACATCTGCGAGAGAACTTCACCTGTGATCCATTGAACTAGGAAACAAAAAGCATCATACACATTGGACAGAACTATAATATCAAATGGTAATGATTTATGTGTTGATAGAAGTACTTAGTTGTGCTCTACATGTAGGTCATCTGTGCAAAATATGAACCATTAAAGGGCCGGAATTGAAAAACAACTTAGGAGTTAAAAGGTTATTAAAAGTTTGATTCATTACAACCCACCACATCCCCACTTGATGACCCAATGAGATGCCTGCCTGGCTCTCACCAGGTCTAAGAATAATAATTAAAACACTAATAAATCCGAAAGTTACATCATTAAAAATTAAAATTTAGCAGAGTCCACAAAACCTGCAATGTAACCCAGCTATAATATTGTAAATTTCACACTCCATTCCACACATGAATATCAAGAGATTATAGCTTGAATAAATTTTAACCAGCCCCACATGAGGCAACCAATAAGACATGTATAGAATCTTTGAAACCATGTAAAACGCAAGTAGAATTAGATGACCAATTATGTGCTGAAATTATGAGGAAACATGCCAAAATTTTGTGGAGACACAACCCTGATGTAAATGCTACATCATTACCTATATCAAACACAAACATAAACTTATTGCTAAAAATCCCTTTATTGCAAGTTCAGTTCCACAAACTCTTGAATCAAAATTTTTTTTTGGGGCATAACAAACAAATGATTCTAATCACGCCAGCACAACCTGTTCTTCAAATAACTTAGCTAATCATCTTGACAAGAATAGAAGAAAACCATCCTTTAACTTCGAAAATATCTACGGGAACAATTTTATTATTCTAGTTAATATATGACGGCTACTACTCATTTAGACCTACCAGAACATGCCAAAGAGTTATCATTGTTCTGAAATTACCTTAAAATTTAACAAGTGCATAAAGAGAGGATGAGCTGCTGCCCATACTACTTTAATAACCTCGAAACAGTCTAGAAAAAAAATAATTTCCAGAGCTATGTTAGAAGTGAATTTTATCTCATAGTTATTACTAGGAAAGTACTTCTAAACCTCATCTAGCAACAGCAGCTTGGCTTGGTAATGATAATCCACAGAAGACACATGAAAATTCTCATATCAACCAGTAATCAAAAAGGCACACACTCTTTGAAAATCCCAGTACATGATGCACCAGAATGAAAAGAACCATGGCATGAATAATTCTGAAATTAAAACGGATCAGAAAATTAATTAGCCAGACTCAGATTTCAATCAAAAAGAGGGCAACAACGTTAAGTATATTATGGAGTACAATAATCAAGAATACACAATATTTGGTAAAGATTCATAAATAACTAAATCCCTAAAATTTAACAGACATGAAAACATAAGAGAAACTGAAATTATTGAGATAAAGTGAAAAATCAAACCAAACGAACGAAGAAAAAACATCACCATAGATATAAATCGTTGACAACAGAGTCGAAATTCGCTCAGAAACGCCTCTGCTCTTCAATTCTTCAATTCCAGTCCGTCGGGGAAGGCCTTCACCTCAAAGAAAAAGCATTCCTAGTTTGAAGAATTGGGAGCTTTTGGGAGGAAGAAAGAAGGGGTTATCTCAGGGGAAAGCCTTCCTCGACAGTAAGAAATAGGAGATATGAAGAGCAACGGCGTTTGAACGGTGAAAAGCCATTACGGAGACGCCGAAGAGGAGCTGAGACTCGAGAGTTCTGTTTGTAGATTTCGAAGGCAGACATTTGCGACTTTATAGACAATCATTACATTTAGGGCGCAACTACTGATATGGTTAAATTAATAGAAAAATGCAGTTTTAGTCCTCAATATTTAGCTCTTATACAGTTTTAATCCTCAAAATTTTGGTAGAAGTAAATCTAGTTCTCAATGTTTAGCATATGTGCAGTTTTAATTCTTAGAGGTTTGGAAAGAGCAAATCTAGTTACCAATCTATCCAATTTAAAGTAGAATTAAGACATTTGAAGAAATTTTTTCAATTATTGACAAAATTGAGTCAGGTCAAATCATGTGTTTTTAAATTACATTACAAAATAAATAAGCAAAATAGTAGTTAACTTTTTTAAAAAATTAAGAAATAATAACTCATGTGCTAACTAATTAAGGAGTAAAAAGAAGGGAATTTTTTAAACTAAAACTAGTCAGCGCACCCAGTTCATTGTTCTAAAACTCATTTTCATTCTCTGTCCCCACTGTCCCTAAGCAAAAAAATAATAATTAATTTTTTTGCATATATTAACAAATTTTCTATAATACTTAATTTTTTGTATAGATTAGCAAATTTTCTTTCTTATTTACTAGTTAATTAGTTACTAATGTGCCATTATCTAAGTTATTCTCATTGTTCAATTATTCGATATTTTACTTTTATTTTAACAAATTAAATTCAACAAACCTGTGACTGCAATTGATTGATACCACTAGTATTTGAGAAAATCTGTCAATTGACCTAAATCTATTTCAAACGGATACTATTGGGGACCATATTTGCTCTTGTCAAAAATTTAAGAGCTAAAAATGCACATGCACTAAATATTGATGACCAAATTTACTTTCAGTAAAACTTTAAGCACTAAAACCGCACAAGAGCTAGGGTTCATTTGTTTTCCTGTCAAATTAACTTAGACCGGTTCATATGTTTTCGAGGAGAAAAGCCAAAAAATACCGATTATTTATATTTACTTCCCCAAGGTTTGGCCAAATAACTAGTAAGATCCATTGTTGTGGGCAAGCAATATTGCCGAGTAATTATCTTCCTGCCAAGAGCGTATTATACTGAAACACCAAGATTACCCTCAATCAATCAATTATATATATATATATATATATATTCATTGATTTTCCTAGAATCCATTATGCATTAATTACTCATCTTTTCTTTCTCTAATTAAATATTTTTTGTTTGGGTCTCTCACTCGTCTTCCTATTATTCTTATTTCTCTCTTTGTCACTCACACACTCATAGATCTATTATTTTATAATTAAATAAAGTAATTTCTGCCTTAGTCTTTCTTGTATCTTTTAGTTCTATGTGCTCTTGCTTTTTTATTCAATTTTAAAATTTTTATTTATTAATTTATTTATTTTTTGCAAAGAGAACTGCATTTAACCCCAACAAATTTCAGTTTAAAATAATTATTAGTATGATGCCATTGTAACTCAACACTTTAGCATAAAATTTTGTTGACATGCAACATACAATTTTTTTTGCTTACACTATAGAAAAATTTAATAAAAAAATGCATATTTCCTTTGCATTCTGCTTGTTTATCATGCCTCTAAGCAACTAATACTGTCAAAACTTTACCATCTTTTTCTCTTTTATACTTGTCATGTAAATCTTGACTTTTATCTTTTATCAAGTATCCATATTTTCTAATAATTAGATGAAAGGGAGTTTAAATTACATTACGTTTTATATCCCATGAATATTGAAGGAAAAGTAAGGCTATTTTTTGGGATTATTTTCATGTTAATCTATTATTTATTTTGACTTGAATTTGTGTTTGAAAAAGAATCTTTCGAGTAAAATTTAAAAAATAAAAATATAAGAGCATGTAGAATTAGTATACGAGAAATCATTAAAACCAAGGACAATTTAGTAAATCATGAAAATAATTGATGAATTAATGTGTGTGTGAGAGAGAGATAGAGAAGAATGTAAGTGAGTAGGAAAAAACTTTAATTGAAGAGGGAAGAGAAGGAGTAATTAGTGTTTAGTGGATCTATAAAAAAATCTAGAAAAATATATGGAGTTGACTAATTGAGGGTAATTTTGACATTTGAGAAAAATTTACTCTGGCGGAAACATGATTGTTTTGGAAATATGGCCAGCTATTGTTGTGACTTGTGACTAAATAACATCCACTTCCCTTAGTAGTTGCACTAATACCATCCAAACCCTAATACAGAAATCACAAGATGACAATAGTAACAAGGTATTGGAAGAGATTTTGTTTTTGGGTCAAAGATAAAAAAAAGCCTAGGTAAATATTGAATGTTGAATAGCCTAGAAAATATTATTGTTATAACATTAAGAGCAAAAGAATATAAAAAAGAATTAGGAAACATGAAACCAAAACTCAACTTTCCAAGGCTTTGCACCAAAAAATTTTGTGTTGATCTGAACCGACTACTAGGTATGTCTAGTAGTTGGTCCAGAACTAATAAGAGAGTTCCATGTACACATATAAAAGCATAGCCTAACTCCATGTGCACATGCAAGTAAACTTCATTTGGTATATAAATTAGTAAATAGGGTCTTTATATGTTGACATGAAACTTTTTTATTGATGATGGACCAACAACTAGACATGCCTAGTAGTCGATCTAGACTAATATAAATTTCTCCTTTGCACCCCACCATCACTACCACTTCTATGGGGTGGGGGGATTTTTCTCCCTTCTCCCCTTCTATTAAATAGGGCGGGTGACAGGAAGGATAGCTTTGTCCCATCCCGGTCCCATCCCCTACATAAATTGAATATAATATGCAAAATATATAACCTAAATACTTTGATAATTATACATAAAATGTAATAATTATAAATTCATTCCGATCCAATTAGTTCCCAGAAAAAAGATTAAGCTATTGCACATGAAAATGAATTGTATAGTGAATATTTTATCTATAGACAGACATGTCATGCCATGAAGTAAACTAACCATTAGACAAAGTAACTAGGCCTGGTGCAGTGTCAAGTAATTATAATGTTTATATAGCAATAGACTTAGAAAAAAATAATCCAAAATTTCCTAGTGATCACAGAAAATATGTTGAGCTGAAACTTTCTGAATTAATACAATAGTTCGGGTTACCTGGTATGAGGTCATAACCTTTGAGCTAAAAGTATGGAGTATTAGACAAGATGGGCAAACGAGACCAAAGCTGCCTAAGAAAGGATAGCAAGACAAAATAAGAAATAGCTGCTTCCAAGTTTGACAAGAAAGTGAAATCGCTACAAACAATAAAACGTTAGATGAATCAAGAGTAAAAATTTCAAAGATGCAGAAACACTCTTATGTCTTCAAAATGCATTGTGGTTCTCATCTTGTATGAAGTTTGTATGCAGTTAGAAGTTACAACATGAAATTGTCGACTCTTGTTAAAAGTATCTTGTGGTGTATTAGCATTTTCTTTTCCGTGGGCACCTTCGGGGAAAGCGGGGTGAGGTGGGAGGAATTAATTGATAATGGAAGGGTGGGTAAGGAACCTTTTCTCTGCCCAAAACTGCTCCGTTATCAACCCCATGCTTAGGTGTCATAGGAATCATTTTCCATTTGCATATACTTTATCACATTTTTTCTATTGTAATCAAGTGAAGAAAAAACTCATCTCATGGGCTTTTCTTTCTGTTTTATTCTTCTTTGTTAGGCTTTCTACACTCTACAACATCCCCTCTTTCCTGTTGCACGCAATTAAAATTTCAAGTCTGCAAAACGACAAGAAAAAGAAATACACGACAAATATGTAATATATAAATTTAGAAAAAATATGTGGATACAATCTCCGGAATTTTCTCGAACTTATAGAGAGTTTCCTTCGATTCTTCTCCTCGAACGCCAATCCAAGGGCTTCGCAGCTTGTACTTGGATCAACCACCGATTCCTTCAAATCTTGATATGAAAGATTTGAAGAACTTGAAAATATTTGAAGACTCAAGCCTTGATATATGAAAGACTTGGAGAGCTTGAAGACCCAGACCTTCGTAGCTTGGATGTGAGGACTCGTAAAATTCTTATTTCAAACCCCTATTTTTGGCTCATTTAATTATTTATTTGGATATTTACCCCGAATAATATTTTCTAACCTTATTAGACCTAAATACATGGAATTATAGCTTCATTATATTTTTAAAGTGACTTGTTTCAAAAATTAATTTTTGGGAGCTCGTTTAGTGAAAATAGTGAAAACGTGTTTGGAAATTTTAACCGATTGAGAGTACAATAAGTTTGAAAAATTGGAGACTTACACAATGGTCCTAAAATAGGTAATTTTATGTTTAAGTACTCAAGTGATAGTTATTAGTACTATCGTTATAAGAAATTCTTGGAGGTTTCGCTTTATCGCGCCTAATTTGAAAATACGCGTTTTCACACGCGCGATTTAATTGAGAGACTTTAGACCCTCATTTTGGGACAATTAAGAGTGAATAATATTTATATGAATATAAGTGTATTGGAGGTCTAGTGCACTAGTGAAATAAACTCGAGAGGAATTGAGCACAAAACGCGCGCGTGTGCGCGCGAAGAAGGGTTGACTTTTGGGCAACTTTGGACCACACACTAAAGCTTCCTTTGGAAGCTTCATTTCAGATCAGAATTCCCTCTCTCCTAGCTCCATTTCCAGCATGCAACTCCAAGGAAAAGAACCAAGCTTGCTCCTTCAATTTTCTTCTCCATTTCCCTCACCAAACTTGCACCACTTTGCACCAAAATTTAACTACACTTAGCTTATTACTTGAAAATCATCTTAAGCTACAAAAAGGGGGAGCTTTTCACGGTTTTCTTGGCTAAGGAGAGGACCGAAAATTCTGTTCTTGCACACCAAGTGAAGTAGGTAACGATCTAACCTTCAAAACTTGGTTTATGGAAGTTCTAGTGCCCTTATATACTCATGCATGTTCATGGGTAGCTTATTTATGGTGAAAAAATGGTTGTGTGGGCTCTATGAACTCCCACCTTGGATATACGAACTGATTTGTGGTGTTTTGA